GATGGGGGGGACAGAGGAATCTATTGTTTTCTTATTTAAAGAAAAGTCCCTCTGAACCATAAGCAAGTAGGGCAGTGGCACCACTTGGTAAAACAGATTAAAGAGCATTATGTTGGAAATATTTAAGAGTCCTTCCTGTAAAATATACTGAATATACAGCTCAGTGTTTAACTGGTGTAATCTGAAATTAGGAGGCTAGTGGGCAAGTTAAGTGATATTTCCGTTTGGAAATATTTCACAAGGAAATGTTTATAAAGTAATTTCCCCTTTTGAGGAAGTCGGATCCTCTCCACAAAAAAATTCAAAAGTACTATTATGAGCTCCAAGAATACAGCATTTCTGGCAGCAATGATTTAGCAGTATCCAGGAAGGTGGTGAACATGACAACCATGGAAAGGATCTCAAAGTTCTCTACACTTTGGTGAACAAATTTTAACATACTTCCAGAAACCCCTCCTAGTGTATTAGTGGCCACAATCTGTGAAGACTGATTAATAATTCTGGGAAAGTGTTACTCAGTCTTCACAGTTTGGGGCCACGAATGTGCTACGAGGGTTTTCTGGGAATATGTTAAAATTGTTCCTTGTTCCTCTCCAATAAAACATGCTCCATTCATCAGGTGAATCATCTGTGTTGAGAAAAACCTTTCAATATGTATTTGCGTATTACGCATCATAAACACAATAATAAGAAGAGTAGTCATGGTACATTGCATTCTTGTCACATTTCAGTTCTCCTTCATGCCCTTTTTCTTTCAAACCACCATTGCCACACACACTGTTTAAGCAACTTTCATGTTGCGCCATAAAACAGTAAGAGCAAGGTGGAGCAGAAGACTTTTTTGGATAAGGTAATTATATAATGTACACAATCTGTGTTCATGTAATGTGATGCAAATTGTCTCAATTGCTCTTTTCAAAAGTTGCCTCCTAATTGTGCTTGAAAATTCAAGTTTTCATCTAAATGTAGGTCTTCACAACTGCAGCGGCTAAAGAACCCTTCAAAAGGTGAACAGTGTAACTCATGCAGTGAAATCTGCAGACAGTTTGAAATAGTAGCTCTGAGAAGTGTAAGTATATAAAGCCAAATTATGATCATTCAAATGCCATTAGCCATTTCTCCACTGATCATTTTAACAAAAATACCAACACCAATTCTTTACTGACTACATTTTTTCATATTTTAATTCACAAATTCTCTCCTTTTTGGCTTTACCACAGAATTTCTGGTTTGCCACATGGGAATGCTACAGAGTTCAGGTGCAGCCTGATGCAGAGTACATGGGCCCTTGACACTTTGCTGTTCAGGGGAGGTGGAGATTTCTGGGGGGCCAGGAGATGGACAAGGGCATGAAGGGACAAAAGACCTACTTCTGTGTAAATTAGGAACTTAACTTTCATTCACTTCCAGTTTAAGAGGGAGCAGTGGATAAAGGACCTAGAGCTTCTGACCAGACTATTGTCCCAGCACTTGTCCAGGCCTCCTAAACTGCACAGGGTAGAGATCTTTAGTCCTCTATGCCCCTTTGATATATATGTGATCGGAACAGCAGAGGGTCAGGAGAGAGCAGTGGTTCTTGTTAACATTCTGCCCAGGACATGGACCCTGTCTACAGGTACAGCCATATTTAGGTACCAGTGCAGAGAGGAGTTCAAAAACATATCAGTCCAGCCCTAGCCTTCTATTTTCAGTATATGAACATTAAATGAACTACTAAGCTAATACATTCTATGCCAAGCAAAATTTCGTGGAAGCTACTCTGGCGGCTTTTTTTGGTGCATTTTGAACCAAAACAGATCTGATAAATCTATTTAATTCTGCTGATTACAACAAGCAATAAAGATTCCGCAATGAGAACCTTGTTGACAATTTTGCTTATATGTGAGGCACAGGAGACTTTACAATAGCTATATTAGCTGTGTAGCACTAATAGTCGAGAACATGGAGTGAGTGGCATCGAGTAGGCAGACATAATGAACTGAATATTCCTGTATACTGGTTCCTTTAGTTATTTTGGAAAAATATTTCTGGAATAGCTGAAGCATGTTAATTTAGACTACTTTGCCTATTTTACTCTGTGAATCCATGTCTGTGAAAGAAGAGGCAAGTCTTGTGTTCTCTATAAATATAAAGAGAACTTTGCTGCCTCATCAGCATACGTGTACTGAATATCAGTTTCTAATAGCACTGAAACATACAGCAGTAGAAAATGACTAGTACAGGGACAATATAACTCAACTGCAACTTGTCAGATAAATTTTAAAAGTGCCTGAGCTTTATTTCTAATCTTCCTTTTCAGTCAGTTACTAAAGATGATTGCTCACAATTTCTACTGAAGTCAAAGGGAGCTATGGGTGCTCACTTCCTCCCAAAAAAGTCAGATTAAACCATTAACCTTATAACTCTAAGAGAAGTGTGCGATTCCAATAATGTTAACTTGGCCATAATGCACTTATTGTAGCATTTTTATACTTTGTTATATCCACTGCTTTTTTTTAAAGATGAACCCCATTATATCATTGACTATTGTAATATACACCCATAAAACATTTAGAATGAGCACCATGGCCAAGTGAACTGCATGGAAGTAACTTTAATATTTTTAATTTCCTGTCCTGAGTGTCTGACACCATGTTAAATGTTAATGCTTTTTTCCATTTTTGCACATGCAAACAATGAAACAGTCTCCAGTCTCTACCAATTATAACTATTTATTAGGAATGCCTGACAATAGTGTCAGCCATTTGCATTGATTATCTTGTCCTCCTTGCAGAAGTACTGTTACTTGCTGAGATAATTTATGACAATGATCTTACTCAGTGAACCTACTCAGAGGAGATTACTCCCCTTCAGAATCTTGGCATCTTTTCCAACCACACCTTTCCCATGGAAGTCTTGAGTCAGATGTGACAGGGAAACAGTAACCTAGCCGCATAATCTGCACTGGTTACACCCTTACTGGTCCTGTGAAAATCTCTCAACCACAGTTTAACAAGGTTTGATGGTTTCACTTCTCTGTTAGTTGCATCAATATCATCCAAAAGCTAGCAGGTTCTAGCTGGTGCTGTGATGCTCATGTGCTACAATGGCAAAAGTGGCTTTAATTTATTGCATGGCCAAATACCGCACACGTTTGGGGAAGAAGGTCACACATGGACCTCATTTATATCCAGCTAAATACAGCTATGAGTCTAAAGTCCACTCTACTGCCTTGGATTCCAGTCCTCGCAAACAGCCATCTCTTAACAGATGATTGGAGGAAGGATATCTTGCATGGGTACAAGAATGCTCTCACTAACAAAAAATGCTCTATGACAACCTTGTTCATCCACCTCACACTTGCTTTAAGTTCCACCAACCATTCTGGGCAGCTGAAAAAGCTCTTCTGTCATCCAACTCCTACCCAGAAGACACCTGGTGAGTGCAATGGGCAGGCTCTGAAGTAAACAAAAAGCACCTCCTAGATGATCCCACCATTGAATACCTGATGCAAAAATGGAGAATCAAAGATTCGCCAGAGTACGCATGCAGAGACCTCCGAACCACGGAATACATTGTGAACAGGTGCCCTATCTTTTCATTTCCACAAGATATTGCAAAGGTGCACTCTGCATTTCCTGAAGCCCTCAAATGAATTTCAAACCTTTCTATTAACTTATAAACGTTGCTATTTCCATACTAAAGACGACGTTATCTGTTCACTAGCCCGATTTCACATAATAGTTGAGAAAATCTATTTATAACCTCTGTATCACAAGGAGCTATTCAGAGAGGACAAGATATGTGATTTTTAAAAGACGTGACATTAAATGACCCATACTCCAACAGCAGTAATATGTGACAGGGTGTGTACTAGAAGACCTAGTACACTTCTTTGGTACTTGAAGATGTACCTTTGGCATCTTGTTCACAACACAACTGAGGCATGCATCAAGAAGCTACTTATGCACCTCGTGTTATGAAATATTGCTTAACTAAACAACTCTTCCTAGAGGCTCATCCCGGAGTGTCTCTCTACATTTGAGTTTAGCCCAATTTTTTTTCCTATCTGCTGTTCCCAGTGACCCAGTTAGCTTTCAATCATTTGGAACTGGAGGCCAAAACACTTAGATTTGTCACCAAGCAATTTTAATATATTTAAAAGTTGTACCAATAGCCATTTGACAGACATTTCTACTGCATTATTAAAAAAAGCAACAAATTTAGGACCATATGATACTATTATAAGCTATACAACAAGCATTCATATAAGTACCAGATATCACTAATTATTCAGGTATCCAGTGCATACTCATCTGCACAAGCACCTTCACATCACAAGCTGGAGGTGGAAAGACTTATCAGGTTAGCTTGTGCTTCTCTGCCACTTACAAGAGCATTTTCTATAATATATTTACTAATGCTTGGGCTAATCAGCCTTGAACTTGTAAACCAACTTTTGAATTTTTAGAAACTGAGCTTTGAAAGACTTGGATCTTACCTATCTTAAGCTTACACCACAGAACATAAGCATTAAAATGTGCAGTCATCTTTTCCTTAGAATCAGTGTTTTTGGGTAACCACACCTTGCTGAACTAGTCATTTTGTACTACTGATGAAACTACCACAACTTGATTAGTAACATTTTGAGTGTTTCTAAGAAGTTTCAAGGTTGTAATTCTAAGAAATTTTTGAACAGACCTATTTATAATCTGAAGACAAGACAGATGGCAAAATACCAACCATTAGATATATCTTATTTAAGGAGACACTCTGACCTAGGTTTAGAGAAACAACTTACTTGTTTTTAACATCTGAAAATAGAATGGTTTCACTTCTTGATAAGTTACATATAATAGAACAAGATAGTTTAAAATGGATAATATTGAAAGAAAAAAAATACATTTCTGGTGAGGCTGAGGTTTTGCTCAAAAAGTTCAAGAGGCAAAGGTTGTGCCACACGTTTCACATATTTGACTGACGTGGAGCAGCAGCTTGCTTCATCAGAAGTTCTGGCTTACCTGGGACTTTGTCAACAGATGCAAAAACAGATCGCTGTACAGTAGGGTCACAGCTGCCACGCCGTGACTGGTCGTAAAATCTAAATGGCAGGTGCTGTGATGCAGATGCAGAGCTGTGTCCAAAACCCATCACTTCAGTTGAAGGCTGGACAGGAAGATCCAGGAGAGCTACATTTAAACAAATTGATTTTTTGTTAATAAAAATCTATAAAAAGGAGATCTAATGTGAGAATTACATTGCCAACTTGTCCAGAATCTTGGGACCATAGCTAGTTTAGATCAACCTACATAGCTTGCTCATACTTGCATCTTCTGAATAAAAACAGCTTGCTGCTCGTTTTGCCCTGTAATTACAGGGCGGGAAAGGCAACAAGTGGCTGCAAACTGCACTCCCTTTCATGTATATACTAGGGAAACCCCAATATTTATTAAAGGAGGAAACAGGCCTTTTGCAATATGTCTCCATTACATAAACGTGATGGTTGCAAGCCATTTCAAAAATTGGTATCGTAGTAAGAAATATCCATCAACAAGGACATTCATTAGTTATGTTTGTGCACGGCAGCAGGCCAAGCCATTTGGAGACAGGTAATCTGGTAAGTAAATATCTGCAGTGTGTGTGACCACCCACACTATTTTAGGTCTACTTCCATGGAAGATCTTAACTCTGAACTTACTCTTAATTTAGATACCAGAAATCAAGAAGACCAAAGAATTAGACTGCACAATTATAATTCACAGGACCAAAGCATAAGTATATTTCATATAGCACTGAAACATTAGAAACAGATTTTAAAACTCTAGACCGAATAATTCTTAGTTGAGGTTGAGTCACTAATTTTAATACTACTACAGATTTTCTTTATACATTGTTTCATATTACAGATATTCCAGACAGTGATTGATGCTCTCCAGTAATCAAATAACTAAGATGTTCAGTTTCCTTTCTCACCTGCCCGTCCCCTTTCCCTGTATGTTCTATCCTCTTCCATTCACTCACCCGATTAGTTCCAATCCTCACCATGCGCTGCATTGATTTAGGCCTTAGCTATTATACATTCAATCCCTATGTCAAGGTTCCTTCTCCTCTCTGAACTCTAGGGTACAGATGTGGGGACCTGCATGAAAGACCCCCTAAGCTTATTCTTACCAGCTTAGGTTAAAAACTTCCCCAAGGTACAAACTTTGCCTTGTCCTTGAACCGTATGCTGCCACCACCAAGCGTGTTAAACAAAGAACAGGGAAAGAGACCACTTGGAGATGTCTTCCCCCCAGAATATCCCCCCCCAAGCCCTACACCCCCTTTCCTGGGGAAGGCTTGATAATAATCCTCACCAACTGGTACAGGTGAACACAGACCCAAATCCTTGGATCTTAAGAACAATGAAAAATCAATCAGGTTCTTAAAAGAATTTTAATTAAAGAAAAGGTAAAAGATCTGTAAAATCAGGATGGTAAATACCTTACAGGGTAATCAGATTCAAAACAGAGAATCCCTCTAGGCAAAACCTTAAGTTACAAAAAAGACAAAAAAACAGGAACATACATTCCCTCTAGCACAGCTTATTTTACCAGCCATTGAACAAAAGAAATCTAACGCATTTTCTAGCTAGATTACTTACTAACTTAACAGGAGTTGTAAGGCTGCATTCCTGATCTGTTCCCGGCAAAAGCATCACACAGACAGACAGAACCCTTTGTTTCCCCACACTCCAGATTTGAAAGTATCTTGTCCCCTCATTGGTCACTTTGGGTCAGATACCAGCGAGGTTACCTTAGCTTCTTACTCCTTTACAGGAGACAGGGTTTTCCCTCTGGCCAGGAGGTATTTTATAGCACTGTATACAGAAAGGTGGTTACCCTTCCCTTTATGACACCCTACCTGATGGATAACCACCTACATAGGTAACACTCCTTTCTACATCTCTTAATGCATAAAAGTTCAGAAAATTTAACTGCTGACATTCTATTTTATGTAGCTTCTCATACTGTTCTTATCAGCATAGTATCTGAGTACCTTCCATTAGTGAATCAAGCAACACTAATGTGGTTCATTCACTCTCTCCTCCTCCCTGCTGGGGCAGACATTATCATACATGAATATGCATTTTGCTATAATACGAAGATATTGTTAAGATCTACTGTTTAGAAACTGGACACTGGTTTCAAGATTCCTCTCCTGGGACACAGTATTTCAGATGCTTTGGATGACACGTAAGAGCAGATCTTACACTGAATTGTCATGAGACATGTTTCCCACTTCAAAAGAGAAACATTTAAGGCATCTGCTTACCTGCAATTCTCTGCATTTTCATACGTCGAGCTTGGATGCGGCCCTTTGCCAAACGCTGCTTCGCAATGATACAGCGAATGTGATCAGAAAAAATAAATGTGGCTTGGAGAATGGGGAAGGGCTTAGAATGGGGACTAGATGCAGGTTTGTGAATTATTATATTCAGAGCTCTACTGTCATCTTCTACTCCAGTTACCTGCATATCCTATAAAGAAATGGAATATAGTTAGCGGTGAAAGAAATTGAATTGTTCATTGTGAATATTTAAATTAGATATGAACAATATATATTTATAAGAAGACAGAGACATGAGGTACTGCTTTAAAAAAAACCCCACACAAATGTTGCAGTATATTGGTACAAATTTCTTGTGAAGTAAATCCAACATGGCTAAGTCAGGCAAAAATTCAATTAAGTGGTTTGACTGTGAAAGAGTACTTCTCTCTCTCCATTTTCTAGAAACATGACTATTGAGCTTGGCATAACATAATAAACAGAGACTACTACTGCTGAGCAACTCATTTATAGATGTTTACATTCTGATGCAGCTGGAATACCAAGAAATTTGAATTAGGTACTAAAACATTGGACTAAATGAAGAATTATTATAAACTAGACTGAAAGATGCTGAAATCCCATTTTTCTCGGGTAACAACAATTCAAAGGACTAGACTCTAGAATTATCTATACTTGCTTTCTTCACTGTAACATTCTAGGTCAGTGGTCTCCAACCTTTTTATGCACAACATCACTTTTTGAATTTAAGTGCAACCCAGGATCTACCCTGCCCCTTCCCCAAGGCCCCGCCCCACTCACTCTCCCCCACCTTCCCTTACGTTCACTGGGCTGGGGCAGGGGGTTGGGGTGCGGGCTCTGGGCTGGAGTCGAGGGGTTCAGAGTGTGGGAGGGGGCTCCAGGCTAAGCCTGGCGCAGGGGGTTGGGGTGCAGGATGAGGCTGTGGGCTGGGGCAGAGTGTTGGGGTGCAGGAGGGAATACGGGGGGCTGGGGCAGGGGGCTGAGGTGCGGGAGGGGGCTCATGGTACAGGAGGAGATATGGGGTTCTGGCTCTGGGAGGGGGGGTCAGGGCTGGGGCAAGTGGTTGGCATGCAGGAGAGGTTTGGGTTCGGCCTTGGAAAGAGGGATTAGTGCTGGGGAAGGCCGTTTGGGGTGCAGGCTCTGTGAGGGGGCTCAGGGCTGGGGAGCGGGAGAGGTTCAGGGTGCAGGAGGAGGTTTGGGTGCTGGCTTGGGAAGAGGGATTAGGGCTGGGGAAGATGGTTTGGGGTGCAGGAGGAGGTTTGGGGTGCTGAGGGGGCTCCCCCCGAGGCCTCAGGGATGTGCTGGCCACTTCCAGGAGCAGCATGTGGCCAGGACACGCAGGGAGCCTGTGTTAGCCCTGCTGTGCTGCTGGACTTTTAGCAACCGGAAATCGCGATTGACTGGCAAAGGCTCCAGGATCGATCAGCTGATCACTATCTACCAGTTGGTGACCACTGTTCTAGGTAATTTTGTAGAATAAAAGATTTCATACTATTCCACAACAAATCCCAATACACACTTAAATAAAATAGCTTCCCAATATATACCCAGATGTATTGTGTGCTTGCATACATATAGAACACACACACACACACACACACAATTTTCAGGGCACCTTTTAGCTATTATTTTCTTTGTTAAGTGTACTTAATAGAGCAAATACCGGAATTCGTGTTTAAGAATTTCAGAGTTTAAAAACACAGTTTAATTTGTGATGAGAAACCATCTCTTTCCTTTTCTTCACGAGTATTATAAGATCTGTTCCCTATTGCTGTGATTCAGAAGAGCCTTTCAGCACAGATTTAACTTTAAGCATGTGTTTAAGTGCTATTGACGTTAGTGGGACTTCAGTGCTCTGATTAATAGAGATGCTTTCTTGAAGCAGGGCCTTTATGAGGAAGTTACTTCATTTGCAAGTGTCCAGCTAGTGAACTTTTAAAGAACTTCTTTGGAAAGCTGGAAATAGCATAAAGCAATTTAACAGAAGATAGAATTAGAAAGGATACTAAGTACACAGAAAATAGGGAGGTATGCTATTGACCTAAAACATACACTGATAAAACCAATACTAAATTTGATTACACTGTTTCTTACATTAACAGACTTTTCAGCTGCAAAACAAATCCTCGTGTCAACAGATATCTTACCTGCAAAAGGCCCGCAAATTTAACGACTCCCCAGCCCAGTCTGGCAACATCTGGTTCAACTAAACTCATCTGGTAAATATCCACAGCCAGAAATCTCTGAACCTGACCTCCATCTTTTGTAATCACTGTACAAGCAATTAAATCGCTGTTATCTAAAGAGAAAAAAATAGTTAAGATAGGCAGCTATCACAGTTAACTTCTGCAATAGCTTATTTTGTTAGGAATTTCAAGATTTTTCAAGGAATATGCTTTGCATTAGAAACCTAAGTTATCTTGGCTCATTTCAGATACTCGTTTCCTCTTCACATTCAGAGTCATTTTATCATGCTCATTCACAATTAATTCCTGGTATACACTGGATGATGACTTATTTTGTCAAGAATGCTTTGAGTACAAACATGGTGTGGTATTTAAATGGTTAAGGGTTTTAGTTCACCAGGCTTTTGTGTTACACTCAACATGATTTCAGGGTTGAACTTAAATCAGTTAGTGCTGATATCTCCCTCTTCACGACTGCTGAGATACCTCTGAACTTAAAGCTACGCATTTGTTTGTTTTTGCAATTGCTTGTTTGTTTATCCAAGTACCCCTTTCAGTTTTCCTCTCTCTCCTACCAGTTCCCATGGTGGAAGACCACACTATTGGCATCAGTTGTTGAACAGACTAGCAGGGGTGGGCAAACTTTTTGGCCTGAGGGCCACATGGAGGTATGGAAATGGTATGGTGGGCCATGAATGCTCACAAAATTGGGGGTTGGGGTACGTCGGGGGTGAGGGCTTGGGGGTGGGGCCAGAAATGAGGAGTTCAGGGTAAGGGAGGGGGTTCTGGGCTGGGGCAGGGGATTGAAGTGCGGAGGGGGGGGAAGGGCTCCGGGGTGGGGCTGAGGGGTTTGGGGTGCATGAGGGTGCTCCAGGATACACTTGAGGGGTTCAGAGGGTGGGAGGTGGATCAGGGCTGGGCGGGGGGGGGTGAGGGGTTTGGGGTACAAGAGGGGGCTCTGGGCTGGGATCAAGGGGTTCGGAGGACCTGCTCCCTGGCTGGACCTGAGGGCCAGATTAAAAGGTCTGACAAGCCGGATGTGGCCCATGGGCCATAGTTTGCCCACCCCTGCTGTAGAGGTTAGCCTTCCTCACTTTCTGGATGTGCTATTTTCTTTTCCCATTCTGTATTCTCTTGCTACTTTTTCGCCCAAACCCCATATTTTTTCAGATAATTCACAAATATGCTGAAATTGGTTTGATAAGGACAGGGTTTACAGTAACAAAAGAAAAGTGTCTTTCACCACAAAACACCGGTTTCTAATCCAGGTAGCTAATTTATTTCTACCAAAAGGGAGCCACACAGGCACTCACAATTCAGTGTGCCTACATTTTGGCATCCTGCATCTCTTTAGTGTGCCAGCAACACATTCAACATAATTGCAATAACAACAAAAACAAAACAGGGGTGAGGATACTAACAAACACAGTTTCATTCTGTGGGTTGTCCAGAGACTCTGAACTATTAGACCAGAGGTGGCCAACCTGTGGCTCCGGAGCCACATGAGGCTCTTCAGAAGTTAATATGTGGCTCCTTGTATAGGCACCGACTCCGGGGCTGGAGCTCCAGGTGCCAACTTTCCAATGTGCCGCGGGGTGCTCACTGCTCAACCCCTGGATCTGCCACAGGCCCTGCCCCCACTCCGTCCCTTCCCCTGAGACTGCAGTGCCCTTGCTCCTCCCCCCTTCCCCCCAGAGCCTCCTGCATGCCACGAAACAGCTGATGGGGAGGTGCGGGGAGGGAAGGGGACACGCTGATTGGCAGATCTGCCGGTGGGTGGGAGGGTCTGGGAGTTGGGTGTGGGGGAGTTAATGGGGCGCTGCTGACATATTACTGTGGCTCTTTGGCAATGTACATTGGTAAATTCTGGCTCCTTCTGAGACTCAGGTTGGCCACCCCTGTACTAGACAAATGACTAGGAGGAAAATTGCAGAGTACAGATGATTACTATGTAACTGTGGATGTCTGGTGTGAATAAGCATATTGCGCATACGGTCTAAAACCAAAATACTGCAACATGGAATTACCTGTAACACAAATCTAATGCAATATACAGGATGTGTCAAGATTAAGGATAACATTTTCAAAAGCTTCCATGTCACCTGGAAGTCTAAGTCACTTGTGAAAATGGGATCTAGTGATTTAGGAGCTTTTGAAAAATTTACTCTAAAACAGTACTGCAATAATTGTTCAAAAAGCATTTATAACCATCACCAAAGAATTCAAAAACAATTCCTGGTAAATAGGAGAAAATATTACAGTAAGTTTAAGCTGAACTCCAAGATAACACAGTACACACAAGTCATTTCATTCTCCCTCCATCTCTGACTATTTCTGCATTTGAAGAGAAGTGAAATGGTCTGGTGGTTCTTTTCCACTAATATCTTGTCCCTCAATGTATGTTAGAGAACACCACCACATCACAATATGTACAGCTTTTGGAAACTTCAACAATTAGAACTGAATGAGTGTTACAGTCCGATTTTAAAAACTAAAAAAAATATTTTATTTTCACTTCTGACATGCATTAAGCCAACTACATGAAATAGCTGAAAAATTAAAATGAGGATGTGATCGTGCTTAAATTGAAGCAATAACACATAACTGAAAAGCTCTCTATGCTCAAGGGAAGTACAACTAACCTGCTATGTACCACCTGAAGTGTCTTCATTGCTACTAAGAAGTTGATTAGATGCACAAAAACTCAGAAGAATTAAACACTGAGTAAGCTCGGTGAGTATTAGAGACCCAGGTAAGATAATATTGGATATCACTTGAAGCTCCAGTTACATGAGACATTAAGATAATTTCATAAAGTATATTTCCAGATGATTTTGGCACTTTTATTAGTGCTGTGAAATTGAGACACCATAGCTAAAGTATGGAATTATTGATAACCTTAGTCTTAATCTAGTTACCTTGTATTTTTACTTCAAAGTAAAACAGAGGTATTACAGTGGTTTTCCGCATAAAACAGTCCGCTATTCTTTTTCTTGTAACTATCCCAGGTACAAGATAATGGGCCAGATTTGATTAATGACTCAACCTTCTGGGGCAGTGCTCAACATTTCCAGATTAGTGACCCTTAATTTGAAGTAAAAAGTTCTCACAAGCCCTTTACATACATTTTTAATTATTTTATAATCTATCAAATATAAGAAGCTAGGGATTGTAGAAAACTGATAAGTGAAGCAAAAAGACAAGGAGAATTCCATGGCTAGCAGAGTTAAGGATAAGAACTATATTAAGAACAAACAGAATCCTAACAATGGTATTAGTCCCTTACTAGATTGAAATGATAAAACTGTTAATACCCCTCTCACTCCCCCGTAAAAAAGAATTCAATAAATATTTCTGTTCTGTGCTTGGGAAAAAGGCTAGATAATGCATTGATATCATGATGAAATACTTTCCATTCCAACAGTAACTCAGAAAGATCTGACACAGCAGCTATTAAAGTCAGACACTCTGAAATCAGCAGGTCCAGCTAACCTGCACCCAAGATTTTAAAAGAGCTAGCCAAGGAGCTCTCTGGACCACTACTATTGATTTTCAATAAGTTTTAGAACACTGGGGAATTCACTCCAGAGAACTGGAAGCTAATGTTGTGCCAATATTTAGAGAGAGAAAACTGGATACCTGGGCAGTTATAGACCAGTTGATCTAACATTTATCCCAGCCAAAACAATGGAAAAGCTGATACTAGAATTGATTAATAAAGAATTAAAAGAGGGTACTATAATTAATGCTATTCAACATGAGCTTATGGAAAATAAATCTCAATAAATTCCAATAAATTGGAATTTTATTTAGATGAGATTAAAAGATCGGGTGATCAAGCTAATAGTATTGTATACGTAGACTTTGATATGACATTTGACTTGGTACAGCAGAACATTTTGTCTAAGAAACTAGAATTATACAAAACTAACATACCACATATTAAATTGATTAAAATTCACTAACAGATTTAAGTCTCAAATTGTAATTGTAAATGGGGGGAGGAGAAGGATAAAGCAGTATGTTTCTTGGGGGCTCTGCAAAAATTGATTCTTCATCTTGTGGTATGTAACATTTTTATCAGTGACCTGAAAGAAGACAATTGCAATGAACTTGGCAGATGACACAAATTTTGGGGGAGTGGTAATCTGGGCACAACCCAAACAATACGTGTTTTTATATTACCATACATCTAGGAACAGAGTGCAGGGCATACTTACAGGATGGGGTACTCTATCTTCGAAAGCAATGACTCTGAAAAGGACTTGGGTCAAAGGATAATCAGCCAGAAGGGCTAATGTGATCCTTGAACGTACAAATAGGGGAATCTTGAGCAGGAGTAAGGAGGTTATATTACCTCAACATAGGATGTTTTTCTAAAATATATGCTCTAGTTCAGACACAATTTAATTCAAGGTAGTTCTATGACCTGTGTTATACATGAGGTTAGTCTGCATGATAGCAATGGTTCCTTCTGGCTTTATACTCTATTAATAATCTATAATCTAATGAAATATCAACTCCTGCTCCCCATGCATGATTGGCCAGACGTTTGGAAGGGAGGGGGGGTGTTTGCCTTCCTCTGAAACATCAGATATTGCCCACAGCTGGTGATCGGACACCGGGCATAGTAGGCCAGGGCTCTGAGTTGGTTCAGAGAATCTTCTCTCACATACCTTACTGGTATGTATTGCTCATGTGCTTAGAGTCCAACTAATCACCAGAGTAGGGGTGAGCAGGGAATTTTCCCCTAGGCCAGTTTGGTTGTGACCTTTGGAGTTTTTTGCCTTCCTCTACCACCTGCGGTGTAGAAAACTTGCTAGCATCTTACTCCTAGTCAATTTCCTGCCTTTTCAGGAATCTCAACCTTTGGTGGCACATCAGTCTCTCCTGCACGCATAACAGTTTAGGGTCCTGAGGATTGATATGATTTAATATGTTCACACTGGGCTCAATATAGGGGTACAGAGATCTGACTACAGGAGATCTGACTAAACGATATAATAGTCTCTTCTGGCCTTAAACTGAAATTTATTACGTCTATGTATTTTCCGATCGATAAGCCTATGTACACATTTGTGTATGTTTTGGGAGGCTGGCAGAATACTTGACC